ATACATACAATGATAATAAATATATAAAGAAAATAAAGAATTTTCCTGGGGCTGAGGGTGTAGCTCAGTAGCACAGCCCCTGCTTAGCATGCCCAAGGCCCTAGGTTCCAAATCTAGCACTGGGGGGGCGGGAATCTGTGCCTCATCTTGGAAAAAGCAAGGTACCCTAAGACCAACAATCCCACTTCTGAGTCCATTCCACAGGGAATTCTGTGGAGGCTCCAAAAGGAGATTAAAAGAAGATGGATGGTGGGAAACAGCAAAGAAGCTGAATTGTAGAGGACTGGATAAGAAAAGTGTGGTTATTTGTACAACTGCTCACTTGGCAACCAAGAGAAACAATGACCTAGACACCCAAAGAACATAAATAGAGCTGGCTGTGGTGGCACAGGTCTATAATCCCAACACTTGGGAGGCAGAGACAGGATCTCCGTGAGTTCAAAGCCAGCCTGGTTTACATAGCTAGTTTCAGGCCAGTTGGAGACTAAAGGGAGGCCCTGTCTAAAAAAATAAAGAAAGAAAGAAAAGGAAACTGATACATAGACCTGGTAGTGAACTGTATCAGTACCCAAGAGGCAGAGGCAGGAAGATGGTCACAAGTTCCAGGCCAGTCTAGACTATGTAGGGAGTCCCAGGCAAGAGCCAGGGCTACATGAGGAGACTCTGTCTCAAAAAAAGTAAGACATGGGGCTGTAGAGATGGCTCAGGGGTTAAGAGTACCAGCTGCTCTTCCAGAGGACCTGGCAGCCAACAACCATCCTTAACTCCATCCAGTCCCAGGAGAATTCAATGCCCTCTTTTGATCTCTCTACACTGCATGATTTGTGTACTACATGACACATGCAGGCAGTACACTCATACACATAAAATAACAATAATTTTTTTTTAAAGTAAGACACTGAATAAAAAAGAGTAATGCTTAAATCTTTGAAGTGTTGGGATAGTCACCGTTTGGCTCTAGTACTGCTGGTTTGGTCTCCTTTCCAAGAAGATCCCTGCCTCCTTTGAAGGTCAGTGTGGTCATGTGATTTGTTTTGGCTAATGAAATGGGAACAAAAGTAACATCTGTCATTTCTGGAAGAACCTGAACATGATTCACAGTATTGTCTTCGCATGTAAGCAGCACTTCAGAGAGCTCAATCCTCTGAAGGGGTTCCATCTGCAGAGCCTCTGCTGACCCAAACATGCAGCAAACTACTGAGATTTGTATGGCTGCTTCCTCAGTATATCCTTGTTCTCCTGTCTTATGCACACCTATGGCACAAGAGTATTTAGTGATGAGTACAGATACGGAGAAAGCAATACTATCTACTTCTAAGGATAAACCAAACAGGTGAATACAAGATCCAATATTAAATATGTAGAGAATACAACCAAATAAAGTGAGGCATTACAAAGCCATGAATTAAATACCACGGAGTGGATAAATACCTGTGAAAGCTAAGGAAGTAGGAAGACGGGAGTAGCAGAGCAAAATAAAAGGAAAAAGCATTAAAAGGTTTATTAAACACATTGCAAATGTATTAGAAATTTTTTCTACTCACTGAGCCACTCAACAAATATCTGTGCACCTGGTATGTTCCAAGTACTATTCTAGGTTCTGCTTACACAGCAATCAATCCAAAAAAAGGGGGAAGTATAAAGGAGAGATGGATTTTTTTAAATCCCTGGTGAAAAAAGTTGTAAGGTTAGGACTGTAGCTCAGTGGTAGAATACTTGCCTAGTGGGTACAAGTCCCTAAGCTCAATCCCTAGCACCAAAAGAAAAGCAAACAAACAAAAACTAGACAAAGATGTCTCATTAAAAGATAAGATGTGAGAAAGAGGGACATACTTTGGGTGGTCTGTGAAGAAACAGCATTTAAGCTTAAGCACAGGGGACAATTGCATCTTCCCCAGTAAGGAAAAGGGAGAGAGGATTCACTCCAGACCAAGCAAGGGAAGGGCATGTGTGAAGGCCAGGAGGGAGTGCAGCCCACCTCACTGAGGAAGGGGGTGGGGGGGCATGGAGAAAGGAGCAGCAGGAAATGTGGTTAGAGAAGGGATTCAGGCAGACAGCTCAGCTTCTCAGCACAGTAGAAGGAGCTGGGACTGTATTCTAACTGCCATGGAACCAGAAATAAAAAACACAGGAATCATACAACCTTATTTCCAGCGTATTTCATTATTCTACTTGGGAATCTAACAATATGCTCACATACTTTAAACAAGAAAGGTATTTTTGGCTGGGTGTGCTGACACAGGCCTTTAATCCCAGCACTCAGGAGGCAGAGGCAGGTGGATTTCTGTGAGTTCAAGGCCAGCCTGGTCTCCATGGTGAATCCAGGACAGCTGGGGCTACAGGGAGACCCTGTCTCAAAAAGACCAAAAAAAAAAGAAAGGTATTTTTGCATGTTTCCCCGATAACCCCTAAAACATATAAACTGCAGGGCCCCCATTAGCCAACTTCTTCCCTAAACATGCTGTTAGCAGTAAGTTCAAGGCACCGGGGGAAAAATAACCTTGGCAATCTGGCACTAGTTCTTCAGCCATCCATTGGTATTTTTTCTTCTTCCTCTGCTTTAGTTCACGTTGTCTGATAATGCTTGAAATCAGGCCATGCTGTCATCACAGAAATCAGATGCTTGAGTTCTTTCTGCTGCCAGCCCAATGGGAAACAGGCTCAGGGGTAACAAGTGGAGGTGTGTACAGCTCACCTCCACACTGGTGCCAGGAAGCACAGGGGAACAGTCCCTGTTGGTCTTGGGCAGCCCACACAGAGATGCCTCCTATTGTCACCCCGCAATGAGTCATGGAGGTAGATGTAGATGGCATGGAAAACTGAGCTAGGGAGGGTTGTTTGTCCAGAAGCACCTTATCCACCACCAATGGAAAATGACCTGCCAATGTCCTCCAGCCTTCTCAGCACTCACCAATTACAAAGGCACCAGAGGCAGACAGTTTGGGAACTAGCTCATTTAACAAACAGTTAACAGTTTGCACTAGCTCATTTAATCAAAGCTACCTAAGGAGGTGCTATTATTAGAACCACTTGTAGAGATGAAAAAAATTGATAAGCCTAGGCCTCAGAGAGCATGAGAGGCTTGTTCAGGTTCAGAAAACCACAAGTAACAGAGACAGGCTTCACATCCAGCCTCGCTCCTGAGCACAACCTCTTTAGCTAACCAAACTTTTCAGAACTCTCCAGTTCCACTAAAATTTTTCTGTCACCGACTCAGAAGTAGTTTTTTTTTTTTTATTTTCCCTGTTGTGTTCTCTATTTTATTTTTGTTTTTGAAACACGTGTGGAAGTCAGAGGACAACTTCTGAGAGTTCTCTCTGTCCACTGTGGGATCTAGGGATCAGACTCAGATCATTAGACTGGCCCCCCATTCTGCCCATTTAAAGAAATCCTCTCCAAGCTTGCAAGAGTCCAGCCATGGTGTCCCAATTAACAAGAGAATTCCACTCAGCACGCATCTCCAAATCAAAAGGTTTAAAAGAAAGATAAGGTCTAACCTTCGGTCAGAATCCACTGTGTAGAGAACTTAATCCTACTGGCTGGAGAGATGATCAGTGGTTAAGAGTGCTTACTGCTCTTGCAGAGGACCAAGGTTCAGTTACCAGCACCTACACCAGGCATCTCATAACCAACTATAACTCCACCACCAAGGTGGGGCTTGCTGTCTGTTTTAAAGGATAAAGTCCTGTACATATTGAACAAATGCTTGAAGTGCTGCTGCTCATGTACAACTCAATATCATACAAAACAGTCATTCACTGAGGCGGGCCTAAAGGGATGTGCTGGGATCAGATGTTAAGAACCTGGCTGAGGCCGGGCGTGGTGGCGCAAGCCTTCAGTAGCAGCGAGAGGCAGAGGTAGGCGGATCTCTGTGAGTTGGAGGCCACCTTGGTCTCCATAGCGAATCCAGGCCAGCTAGGGCTACATGGAGACCCTGTCTCAAAAAAGAAAAAAAAAAAGGAGCCTGGCTGAGCTCACGCAAGACCACCACCGGCCCTGTGATCCCCGCAGGGATAAGCAGTCACCATATCAAAAATATGGAAGAGGGGAAGTTACAGAAATTACCGACTGCAGAACATTCAAGGCTACTTGTCATTGTGCCAGCTACCTAAAGTCTCTTGCCGACAGGTTACGAATTTCACCTTTTCTAGTTATTTCACCATGTAGCGAAATATCTCTATCTCTCTCTCTCTCTCTCTCTCTCTCTCTCTCTCTCTCTCTCTCTCTTCATCGTGATCAGAACCGTAAAGGTGAGCCCAGAAACCGCCACAAAACAGCCTGATGAAATAAAGCTGGCCTGTCTATAAGCAATGCCAGCCGCTGCAGACACTGCGCATCTTTCGTTTGGTTTCCATGGTCTGGTTCTTAAACGCCTCGGGTCAATTTCAGGCTCACGATCCAGTAAGAAAAGTCAGGGGAGTACTCAGTTAAGAAATAACGGTCGGATGAAGAGGGGAGTCGCTTCTTTCGAGCAAAGCAGTTCCCAAGAAGGCGGCCAAGGGCAGGGAGTCCCCAGACTTAGCAAGGGAAAAGCCACGGGGAAGTCTGTGCACACACGCCCCCGCTGGCCAGGCGACCGACCAGCTCGAAGGCCCCACAGGTGTCAGGCAGCAAGGTAAAGATGGGGTTCACCCACCCAACTCCACACTCAGACCCCGAGCTGCTCTCAAAGGCGCAGAAGCGATCTGAATTCTTTCCAGGACATCAGCCTCTGCGTCCCGTTACAGGCCAGAATCCCAGAGGATCCCCTTTAGGAAACGGCTGCGCAGACGGCGTTTTGGGCCAAGACTGACAGATCCGCGGCCAGGGGCGACTGGAAGGGTCGGGAAGGTGGGGGGTCGAGACTCCCAGGGTGCACGGGCCGGGGTGAGTCAGGCGCGCAATCAGTGCTTAGTCACGGGTAGCCGGGCACCCGGAGTTCCTCGCCCCGCGCCAGCCGGGCCGTACGTGACCGAGCCGAGCGCGGTGGTGGCGGCCTCCCGGCCCCTCCCGGTACTTACTCTGCCGAGCTGGTCCCGTTCACCGCCGAGCCATCGGGGGTCGGGTTCAGCTGGATGGGCGTCGGCTTCTTCTTGGGCATTTTGCAGCGGGGGAGCGAGCTTGCAACTCAGCGGGGCGCGCGGCCGCTTCTTGCTTCCTCCCTCCGCGCTGCCCCGCGCACGCTGCGCGGAGACCCAAGACGGGCAGCTCCGCCCGCACCCGGCTCGCGGGACCCTCTGCCCGGGAATTCGCGCGTAGGTAACCAAGGAAAAGATGCTCCGGAGCGCGGCGCGGAACGCAATCGACCACGGACTCCTCTGCCCTTCGCCTCAGCACACGGGTCCCTTGGGCTCTGGCGGCCCTCCCGCGCAGTCGCCGGAGCCTAGCTCCAGCCTCAGCCCAGGGGAAAGTGCGGCCGCCGCGGCCACCACGTTCCCAGCCGCCGCGCGCAGCCGTCCAAGGGAGGGACTGGAGGGCGGGGGGGAGGGGCGGGGGAAGAGGGAAGCCCCTCCCCCCACCGGGCTAAGGCGCTTCCCTCACACCCGCCTGGCTTCGCCTCCTTCGCCTCCCGGACCGCCAATGGAAACTAACTTCGGCGGCAAATGACGCGGAAATACGTCAAGGGGGCGAGGTAAGCCGGCCTAGGGGCGGGGTCAGAGGCGGGATCCACAGCGCCCTCTGCTGGCCAAGGGTGCCAGCTGGATCCCTAGCAAAGGAGACGTAGGTCCAGGCACCCAGGGCACTGTGCCTCTCCCTGCCAAGTGCTCCTCGGGCCTCCTCTGAGGGCTCCGGGCTCCTAATGTGGACGGAGATAAAAGTACAGAGACAATAAGAAAAAGGACCCCTCTTCATGTCCAGATGTGAGACAGAGTAGAGGAATAGAAAAACCAAACAAGCTGGCTTAGTTTTTTTCTTTTTAAAAATATTTTCTTGAACCGGATGTGGTGGCGCACGCCTGTAGTCCCATCACTTGGGAGGCAGAAGCAGGCGGATCTCTGTGAGTTCAAGGCCAGCCTGGTCTACATAGTGAGTTCCAGGATATGTGTATGAGTGTATTGCCTGCATGTATATGAGTGCACCCATGTCGTGTAGTGCCGCAGAGGTTACAGGAGGGCTTCGGATTCCCCTGGAACTGGAGTTAAGGACGGTTTCGTTCTGCCATGTGGATGCTGGGAATTGAACCCAGGTCCTCTGCAAGAGCAGTCAGTGCTCTTAACC